ACAGAACATACTGAGAAGTAAATTTCTCTTGTAAAATAAGTTTTAACGTGGATTTGGTCAGGTGAGACGATTGGGTTTGGAGCTTCAATTTCATGTTTTCTCTTTGCTTCTATCAAACACAAGTACCCACTATTTACAGTTTTGGTTTTTCTCTTCAGCTCAATTTTTGGATAATTGACAAGGAGAAGCTCCAGTGGCGCAATCGGTTAGCGTGCGGTACTTATAAGACAAGGAGAACATTGGCTTTTGTAGATGTGGTATGGCAAGGATGATATGAGGAAGTAGGAATTAAACAGTCCATATTTGAAGGTTTCACATTTCCTTTTGGTGCTGCTATTTCTAGTGCTACTTGTTATTCCATATTTGTCTCCTACAGAGCCTTACAATAATCTCTCTAAGGAAAATATCCAGGCCTAGAGAAGTCATGAGAGTTATTCAAACCTCAAAGTCTTATGCCAGATCTGGATCTAGTACCAGTTGATAATATGGATTTGACTTTTTTACTTATGGCCCCTACAGCTAGGTTTGTGTAACTGGGGGAATTGGGAATGCCATCCTCTTCCAGCTAGATTAGTATATTTATTCAATTTCCATGGCTATTTTGAATGCAGGTACTGAGGATGTGAAGCACTCAGGGACACAAACCCTTGCTTATAACCGAATGCAGGACAAATGGATTAGATAGGGGTTTGCTACAATGAGATTAGTACTGTGACTGAGCAAGGCATGTGTTAATGAAACACCCAAGAGAGGCTTTGAGAGGCTTCTCTGTAGCTTCTGACACATAAATTGAGACCCAAGAGGAAAGGGAGTTCTAGGAGGAAAGAAAGGCATGAGGACCAAAGGAAGCAGAAATGTGCTTTAGCATAAGCAAAAGAGTTTACAGAGGAAAGAGATACTTGTTCACAGGCCACATTAAGGATTTCATTGTTAGCTGCCATTAGCAATGAGAGCTTGGAGTGGGGTTTTAAGCCTAACAATGTCACCTTGTTGGATCAGAATTACAGAAAACCATTCAGTAGCATGTAGAGGATGAGTAGAACTGAACGCAAGAACTTGTAGCAGCTACTCCTTCTATGAACATGCTGGTCCCTGTGAGTCTGGGTATATTCACAGGTGCCAGTATTTCTTTATGGCTACTGTTGAGAGGCTCTGCTGAGAATAACAGAAAAAAAATGAAATGTTTGCTCACTGTTTGGCCCTGAGTTTGCCCCATGCTAACTGCCAGCCATGCACTAGTAAGTCTTTTATGCTTAAGCAGAGAGTGAAAACCTACAGACAGAAGGATTTTGTTCCACCATCTCAGTTTGGGGAATCAATGTGGAGAGGAGTACTAGAGGAGATGTCAACATTGTGGTTTATTCTAATAAAACCATTGACAAATGCTAGTCTCACTTGGTGGCAAACAACTCCTATGGCCTCATACTACTTATTTGAAAGAAAGCACAGATAGAATCTGTGTCTACATCTTTGTGAGCATACCTGCAAAATCTCAAATACATAGGAGGTACTCAGTAAATATTGATTCCTTTTCTTTTCTTTTCTTTTTTGCTAGTCCTAGGGCTTAAACTCAGAGCCTGGGCACTGTCCCTGAGCTTCTTTTACTCAAGGCTAGCACTCTATCTACCATTTGAGCCACAGTGCCACTTCCAGCTTTTTCTGCTTATATGGTACTGAGGAATTGAACACAGGGATTCATGCATGCTAGACAAGCACTCAGCCACTAAGCCACATTCCTGGCCCTCCTTTTTCTTTTTCTTATTCTTCCTTAATGCTCCATCTCAGAGATGATATCTTATATTGCCTGACAATGTCTGACCCATTTCCTGTCTGCACTCCTCTTCCTGTTCTCCCGGCACACACTGTCCTACCAACACTGACCATCTGTGGTCATACTCCCACTTCAGAACCCTCTGATATCTGTGTGGCTTGTTCTCACCTTTCTCAAGGTTTTGTTCACCTGCCTCCTCAGTGAGGCCTACACTAACCACTCTTTTTTGTACCTATATGCTGGTTCCTGGGTCTTGAACTCAAGGTCTGGGCACTGTCCCTGAGCTTTGTTGCTTAAGACTATAGCCCTCTACCACTTGAGCCACAGCTCCACTTCTGGCTTTGGGTTGGTTCATTAGAGATAAGATTCTCAGAGAGCTGGGCACCAGTGGCTCACACCTGTGATCCTAGCTACTTAGGAGGCTGAGATGTGAGGATCACAGTTAGGAGCCAGCCCAGGCAGGAAAGTCCATAAGACTCTTATCTGCCAGAAAACCAGAAGTGATGCTGTGGCTCAAAATGGTAGAATGTTAGCCTTGAGCAAAAATGCTCAAATACAGTGCCCAGACCCTAAGTTCAAGCCCCATGGCTGAGAAAAAAAAAAGTCTCACAGACTTTCCTGCCCAGACTGGTTTTGATCTGTAATGCTCAGATCTCAGCCTCCTCAGTAGCTAAGATTGATTTTAGGTATGGCTATACTAACAACACTTTTTGTTTTCATTTTCATTTATTAATATTATAAAGGGGTTATAATTTCATAAGCCAGGTAATAAGAACATTTCTTTTTCTTTTTATTTTTTTTGTTGGTCATGGGGCTTAAATTATGAGCCTGGGCGCTGTCCCTCAGCTCTTCAGCTCAAGGCTAGCACTCTACCACTTGAGCCACAGTGCCACTGCCGGTTTTCTGAGTAGTTAATTGGAGATTAAGAGTCTCATGGCCTTTCCTTCCCAGGCTGGCTTTGAACCACAATCCTCAGATCTCAGCCTTCTGAGTATCTAGGATTACAGGCATGAGCCACCAGCACCTGACTTATAAGTACATTTCTTTTTGGACAGTGTTAACCCTTCCTTCACTCTCTCCCAGTTTTTCTCTCCCATCCCTACCCACAGGTTGTATAGTTCATTTTCCATTAACCACCCTTTAAGGTTCAATTTGCCTCACTTCTCCATGCTTTCCCTTCCCAGCTGTTTTTCTCCTTAGCTCTTATCACCTTCCAATGTGTTACAGTTTGAATTACTTAGATTTTTTAAAAATAAAAATTAGTTTTTATTGAATTCAATCACATCTTACATCACATGTAAGTTCCACAAAGGCAGAAAGCTTTTTCTGTGGTATTCATTGCAGCATCACCAGTGCTTGAATAGCATCAGGTGATCGAATGAATGAATGAATGGATGAATGAATGGAATATTCCCTAGCAACCAGTTAGATGTCACCCAGAATAATGGGAACTGTGTAAGCACAAGTACTAAAAGTTTTGATTTCCCTCTGAGTGCTTTCCTCAAATCTGCTTGGGTAGTGACTCCGAATTGAGTAGCTACCATTTGTTCAGAAAATAAGAATACTGTCCTTCCCTTAACAGCTAATCTAAGGGAAAAATTTTAACCCTTAAAAACTCATAAGCACAAGCACTAGTTAGTTCCTGTTCTACTTGAAGGTATGGAAAACAACCAACATGTTCCCTTCAAAACCCTTCTAGTTACTACTTCTAGACCACTTAGGTTGCTTTTCTTCTTTGCTCTCTTCTGGTCCTCACGCCTTGAACTTTAAAACCATCACCTATGAAACCAGACAGTAGTAGAAGGCCTCAGTGGGGACAGATCCCAGAGTGTGGACAGTATCCATTTCCTTATCAGTCTTTGCTCACTGAGGAAGTTACCATACATGAAAGAAAGGAAAAATTGAGACTGTTGTCTCCTGGTAATGTTCAGTAGTTTTGCATAAGGTCCCTTCATTCATTTTCTCACTTATTCATTGTCAGAGATTCACAGGCTGAGAGCAGTCAATTACAGTGGTGAAGACATGTATGGAGAAGGCTTTTGTAGCAGGCAAGTTCCCACAAAACATATGTCACACAATGTTGGAACCTCAGTGGCTCCCAACTATGTTTGCTCTTGTGTCTGTAGGTCAGTTAGAGTGGCCCTGTTTCAGGTGGGCCAGAGGGATGGATGTGAAGAGTTAGAAACAATCATCTTTCACAGCCTTTAGCTCTGTCTATGGAAAGGAGAAAGGGCTTGCTGGAGCAACCTTGGTCTGTCTTGGAGGATGAGTAGTTAGTTCCCAAGGCAAACAGGCAGGCAGTGATATATGCAAGAGATGGATTTTTTTCTTTTTTCTTTTTTTTGTCAGTCATGGGGCTTGAACTCTGGGCCTGGGTGTTGTCCCTCAGCTCTTCAGCTCAAGACTAGTGCTCTACCACTTGAGCCACAGTGCTACTTCTGGTTTCTGATGGTTAATTGGAGATAAGAGTCTCATGGTCTTTCCTGCCCAGGCTGGCTTTGAACCATAATGCTCAGATCTCAGACTCCTGAGTAGCTAGGATTACAGGTGTGAGCCACTGGCACCTGGCAAGGGATGGAATTTTAAAAAAGAGATTGAAGTATTATCTTAACATTTATTTAAGTAATAACTGTGGGCAGTATGTGAGAACTATGTCTTTCTTCCTTTCCCCCAGTTTTTATATACATACCAGGAAATGTTCAGAAATGAAGGGGGATAAGCTTAGTAGGTTCCTCTACACCTCCCAAAAGTTGGTCAACAAGGTAATGCTGACAATTGCCACTGCTCTCGAGTGCCTCTATCTAAAACTGGTTCTCTGCCCATGGCAGAGCACAAGCATACTCCAGTGAAGAGATGGGCACTTTGAATTTTCATTCCTGGTTCCTGATTTGACAACTGGAATCACATCTACCTGGTCTTACTGATCTTTAGAATTTTTTTTAAAGAGAGAACCATCCTTGACTCAGCTGGTTTATATCCTTGACTCAGGTAGATTATTAAACATTGATAGGCATTTTTATGAGTTCTTCATCTCAGCAGGCTGGAATTGGGTGGAAGCTTGTTCCCTGAACCATTTGCCATGTGCACAGGAAGCTGGCAGAACTGGTTCCTTCCAGCTCAAAGACCATCTCCTATCATTTGAAAATCTTGTAATATTGAGCAGTGCTGACAAGAATGGCCTCTCACTGTCTGCTGTTTGCTGTCTCATGACTCCCCAGGTCAGGGAGGCTCCAATGTTGCTGTCTCTCGTGGATCTGACGACGGGAGCCGAGAAAGGAGAGACTGTATCTGAGACAGACTGGTCCAGAAAGAGAGCATACTAGGATGGGATGCTGCTGACCGCCCAAGCAAGAATTGCAATCTCCTCTTCCTAAGAGCTTCTACTCAAACCACTCCTAGACCACGACTACCTCATGGAAAGAGGATCTTTTTAGGATCTTGTTGTCAGCTGCCCAACACTTTTGCAAAGCCCAAACGAGACTTTTACCAACAATCTGAACAAGATAACATTTCACTTTTGCCTCCTTTTCATCTTCCTGGTTGTGCTCTTAGCTTTTTATCCCTGAGTATTGCAAGCCACATTTATTGCTATTATTTTTTGTGTACACTTTTCAAAATGATTGACTTAAGTTTCCTTACGGAGGAGGAACAAGAGGCCATTATGAAGGTTCTGCAGCGGGATGCTGCCCTGAAGAAGGCTGAAGAGGAGAGAGTCAGGTAAGAGGCCAGAAGAGTCTTCAGACTTCAGGGAAGGAAGAGGTGGGCCATAGGAAAATAGAGTATATAAAAATTTCAACCATAAGTGGTAGTTTTGACTTGGAACCTAAACTTATGGGTTCCAATTTTAGGTTTGCTTCCTGCACAAACATTTTCCTCTGGTGTCTTTTAATTTACTCTTTTGGATGCCTGTCAGAAACAGATGTTGATTACAAACTTAGGCTGGGTGTGGTTTGTAGTCCCAGATACTCAGGAGGCTGAAATAGGATTGCCTGAGCCCTTGAAGATCTGTGATCAGCTGCAGCAACAGAGTGAGACCCCATGTCAAAGGCAAAACAAAACAAATGGAACCAAACAAACAAGTACTTTATACTCCTTCAACTTATTAAATTAAAAATGGAAATATACAAAAACATATTTCTTAGCTGGGTGCTGGTGGCTCATGCCAATAATTCTAGCTGCTACTCAGGAGTCTGAGATCTGAGAATTGTGGTTCAAAGCCAGCCCAGACAGGAAAGGCCATGAAGCTCTTTATTTCCAATTAACCACTAGAAAACCGGAAGTGGCGCTGTGGCTCAAGTGGTAGAGCCCAAGCCTTGAGCTGAAGAGCTGAGGGACAGCACTGAGGCCCAGAGTTCAGGTCCCATGACCACCACCACCACACACACACACACACACACACACACATATATGTATGTATGTATGTAAGTATATATATTTCTCACCCCCACACCCTATGTATGTGTTTGAGACAAGGCTTCACTGTGTCACCCAGGCTGGTCTTGAACTTGGGATCCTCTTGTCTCAGTCTCCTAGGATTCCAAGCATATGTCACACCTGGCTACAAGCATGTGTGCATATTTTTATATCCACTTCATAAAGTAGTTTTAAGGTACTAACTCATGTGCTATAATGTTCTTTGGTTTCTAAAATTTTAGAGAGAAAATAGAGAAAAAACTCATAGTTTTGCATATTTTTTAGAAATACTGGAATTGGTTTTAATAGCAAAATTAAAATACTCTGATCAAGTCAAATTTTCATTTGGTTCAAACCCAGGGAAAAGAATAGTAACTCTGACACACAAGCTTTGTTAGGAGGAACATGTCAATATTCCTATAGCTTTTGCTCACCTTTGCAGTAGAAAGAACACTAGACAAAGTCACTGACTAACTGGGCTTAGTCCATTTGCTGTCTTTGTAATCTTGTGCTATGGAGGCAGTGAAAGGTTTTCTACATGGGAATTATTAGTATTAACTTTGTGCTTCTCATCCCAGGAGTTATTCAAAAGGAGCGTAAATTGTATTCTTACATCCTAAAGCACAAGGACCATGAATAGTGGATTTATTTGCACCATTTCCTATAGCTTGGCCATATATATTGAACACGCTTTGTGAAAGATCACACTGAAAATAACTTTGAGAACTAAATAATGTCTGATTATTGCTACTGATAACTATGATGTTTAATAAGATATAAAGGCCTCAATGTTCTCATTCTTTTTTCTTCTTCTTTTCTTCTTCCTCGTCCTCCTTCTTCCTTCTCCTCCTCCTTCTTCCTCCTCCTCTTAAAAGCAAATTTTAATCAGCTTCATAAAAATCATCCTTAAAATAAAAAGAAAAGAAAGAAAAAACAGCAAAAAAGAAAGAAAAGCCCCACGACTGACCGGGAAAAAAAAAATTGTCCTTGTAGCTGCTCCAGGATAGGCCCACTTGCTCAGCAGGTTGCCGGTGACAGTTTCACCCACATTGGGGTGGTTCCTCTGCATGCCACCAACATCTGAGTGACAGTACATCTGCTCCCTTGGCAAGGATTGGGTCAGCTATTTAAGGGCTTCCAACTGGAAGTGTACCTTAGGCACTCTTATGCCCATCATTTTTATGAGCTCACACACTGCTAGGTAGTTGGAAGGTATAGTGGGATATAATTACCCCCTACTCAGCTTGATGTTTGAGGAAGTCAACTTTGAGACCCATCAGGTGAAATGCTCAAGATCACAAAGCCGGTAGGTATCAGCATGAGGGTGAAATTGTACTCTAATGGCTTCACATACTCATAGTATACTCTACTTCCTCTTCTGACATCTAACAATGGAGAAGGGAATCGTGCTCATCTCTATGAGTCACTTGTGGTGCTCCCTGGACCTGCATGGAGCATTACACCCCACTCTCAGCAAGTACTCTACCTTTGAGCAGTTTCCCCAAGAGCAGCAGAGAGCTGACACTAATACTGGGTAGCATTAACCTTCACACATTCACAGTTTATGGAGGTCTTTCATGAATGTTATCCTCTTATGTTTCTCATAGCAACCCCAAGGTCTGTCAAGGCCAGGATTGTTACATACATACACACAGCAAAATATCCAAGAGTTCCTTGGCAGACTTGGTTTTGCACACTCTCCTTTCTTCTTTGTTTCTGAAGTGCCTTAGCAACTGCCAAAAATTTAGCTCCTCCTCCGTCCTTTCTCCTCCCTCCTCCCTCCTCCCACCTCCCTCCTCCCTTCTCCTCCTCCTCCTCCTCCTCCTCCTCCTCCTCATTCTTGAAGAACCCTTGGAATGGTGACAAATCTAGGGAGTTAAGCCTTGTCTACAACACTACTCCAAGGAGCTTTCAAATTGGCATCACACATCTCTTGTGGACTTGGCCATGATCCAGGAATTGGCCAGGACACTAAGACTATTAAGGAGTGCCAGTGTGGCATGTGGGTATAAACAATGGCTTGCAATACTGAGAGTCTAACCCATAATATGTTCACACAAGGAGAACCTTGCTGTGTCCCATTTTTCTCTGGAACTGAAGGGTCTCTGGGATCATATTCTTTTCCCAAGTCATTTTCCATGCTCCTGTTCTGCTTCTGGACCAAAACTGGGTCTCTGAACTACTTGATGGGTTTTATCTTAGAAGCTCCTGTGCCATCCTTTGGCTATTTGTCTTTACCTCTTCTACAAGTTAAGCTTGACAGATCAGAAATTGAGACTTTGGATTCCTATCAGTCATTTTATAGGTTAAAGCCCAGAAAGGGGAAATGACTTGTCTAGGGTCAAAAGTTAGATGTGCCAAAGCCATACAAAGAAAAGCTCTTGGTTTAGTGCCTTTTCTTCTGCCCCAGGCAGCTTGTTGCAATTTTCCTTCCAGAACAGAACAGTAAGAGGTCACTCATGACACAGGGAAAGAACTCCCCTGTGTGGACATTAAGGTTAAATCCCAGCTCTACTTCCAATCATCTGTGGCTCATTGGACAACTTATTTAACCTCTCTGAGCCCCAACTCAGAGATTAGGTATGACTGGAATACCAAATTCAAAAGTTTGAAGTCAGTTTTAAGTATAATAATTTTTAATCTTCCTGACATGTTAGTGAGTACATTTTAAATCATTTATTCAACACGCAATCTGTGCTTTTATAGAACAGAAGACTGTAGTTTACAATCTGATTCTCTAGCAGGGAAATGATTCTAAAACTAATTACTTAATGTAGTGAAATTGAATAGAGCACCTTTTAAGTACGAGGAACTGCTTTGGGCAGTGATGTAAAGTGAGTTTCTAGGATAACTGAAAACATCTCATCCCTCAAAGAATTTACCACCACATGGCCTTCATTCAGTTAATAGATTGCCAATTGCAAATATGGAGTCTAAATTTTGCTTCCCTAATGTGGTTATACAAAGCCTCAGTTCTCTCTCTAGTTGGTTTGTAGCTTAGAAATACCAATTATATAACTGTTCTATCACTCTAAAGAAAACATCATTAGAAAGGCAAACTTCTCATAATATTAGTACTGTTATTTCAAATGCTAACTCTCTATGCACTTGGGAGTAAAACCCTCCTGTAGCCATAAAGGTGTCACTAGTGGCCTATAGCATTCCTGCCTCCACATCCAGAATATCTTCTGCTTCAGAACCCATTATAGAAGCCCCGAAGGAGAGATTGAGCATTCACATTGAATTCTGTTCACTTGTCTGCATACATCCTGTGCTTTGATTACTCCTACTCAAGCCTACTTCAGACATTTTGGAGATGATTTAGTTTCATGTCACCTTCCATCCATAGCTATGTCAGTCATTTTAGAGATATGTTCAGTTCCTAAGTTGCTCAACCAGTCTAGTAGTAGCAGTAGACTATGTACTTAAGGGTTATCCTGTGTGGAGTCTCTGGGGTGCAGATGAGAAGACAGTAGCTCTGAATGACTCTTGTCACAATGGTCTTCCATGGTGCTTCTACCTGTAGCCACAAGTGCTGGGCTCAGGTTACTAACTTCCAAATAAAGACATTTCGCAGGTCAGCAGGGAAGCAGACATCCATATAGATGGATTATTTTCCTCTCTCTCTCTCTCTCTCCCATGCGCTCTGTCTCCCTGTCTGCCTGTCTCTACCATCCTGTCTCTTAACTTTTAAGGAAACACATCCATATAAACATGTATGTAATTTTAGTCTTTTATGGTTTGAAAATAACACACTGTGGAGGTGGTGTTTCCTGTGCTTTGCATCACACTGCCAGCCGGAAATCACTGCACATGTCTGTCTGTACGCCACACTAGCGCCACGTCCCCCACCCCCATACAGGCACAACCACATCTATGGCCATGACGTCTCTATAGCAGATACCGTCTCAACTGCTACCACATCTTATGATTCTCATGATCTGGTTTCTTTTAAATGAAGGCAGTTGACATTGCAGATCTGACTGACAGGACCTCTGACAGTGTTTTCTATCGCAGGAAGCAAAAAGGAGCTAACATTTATCAAGGAGCTATACCACACATGGAGCTACACATACATTTCTTTAAAAATTTTATCTTCAGATCATTACAGTGAACCCATCCAACGAATGAGGAAATAGGGTTAAAGAGGGTAAATGCCCTTTACATACCCTGTGCTGTCTTTCAACAGATTATGGGATTCTAGGATGTGTCTACAGTCTAAGAGATGCATTTCTTATCATTTTTACTGTAAAGACTATTGCAGTTGATTTTGTTTTCAGATGGATTGGCTTCTAACTTCTCCATCAAAGGTTGCATTTTCTTGGTAGAGTGAGGTGTGGTAGTCATTTTTAAAACCAAACTTACATTTGGCCTTTTGAGGCAGTATAGGGTAGTGGAGAGAATATTAGCGTAGAGTTGGGCTGGTTTCTGGTCCTGACTGGGTGATTATGAGCAAATCTCTTAAATTCTCTGAACCTCAGTCATCTCATTTAGAAAGGGAGGCCACTCATCACTATCTAAGATACCTTCTGTCACATTTTTCTTTTGTTGTCCTTGCTCTGTGGCACCTGGACACTGTAGCTTAGCTTTTTTGCTCAAGGCTGGTGCTCTACTACTTGAGCCACATCTCCACTTCCAGCTCTTTGGTGGTTTATTGGAAATGAGAGTCCCCCTCATAGATTTTTCTACCCAGCAGGCTTCAAACTGTGATGGTGAGATCTCAGCCCCCTAAGTAGCTAGGATTAGAGGTGTGAGCCACTGGCTCATGACCAATTGGTCACATTCTAAGCAAACATCTAAGAGTACTTTATTATCATCATAATTGTTACAACTTGACAGTATTGGAGTTTGAACTCAGGATCTCATGCTTCCTAGTTAAGTCCTCTATCACTTGAGCCATATACAAAGCTAAGAATATTTTAAAATGACATAATCCAATCAACTACCTCGACCTGACTGTACTGGGGGATTAAGCAACAACAGCAAAAGACTAGAAAATGGATCAATCATCATCCTTACCATTCACAATTGGCTAGATAGTGTCATCCACGTCCTGCCTATAATGTCAGGCCTTTGTGGATCATGTTGAGGAGCTGGAATGCATGTGTGTGAGCACTAGAAACAAAGGGGTGGTCTGGGAAGGAGTGCTAAAGCCATGCTGGGGCACACTCTTTTCTTCTATATCTCCTCTGAATCCTCATACTCTCTGTGCACTTCAAAGAATTAATATTGGCCGTTAGAGCTATTTACTGAATTTTTACACACAATTTCAAATCTACCCCTGATAGGGAATGAATAAGCAAACAAATAAGCAGATAAGGCTTAGATGTGTAGTCTGTAGCATAGTGGGCAAGCAAAATGGCTACCTTCTGCAGATGACTAAGTTCTTTGTATCTTATGGTAACATTGTAAGGATTAAATGCTGTAATGCCTGTTAAATGCCAAGCACAGTGCAGTATAAGGCAGATGCTAGGTAAGTGTTAGCAGAAGAAACAGGAGACTGGATAGGAGAATGACGGGGTGCTTTGCTTTGGATCCTGACAGGACACTGTCCTTTCTGGGCTTCTGTATCACCCCTGCCCACCAACCCAGTAGTATTTATTTATTTATTTTTGGCCAATCCTGGGGTTCAAACTCAAGGCCTGGGCACTGTCCCTGAGCTTCTTTTACTCAAGGCTAGCTCCCTACCACTTGAGCCACAGCACCACTTCTGGCTTTTTCTGATTATGTGGTGCTGAGGAAACGAACCCAGGGCTTCATGCATGCTAGGCAAGCACTCTACCACTAAGCTATATTCTCAGTCTTCCAGTAGTATTTATTGAGTGTTTTCTTTATGCCCAGTTCTCTTCTAAATACAATGTGTATGGTTGAGAGGATGGTAAAGGATAGTGTCAATCTGAAGGAATTTACCCTTTTTCTCCTTCAACTAGATAGTAAACGAATGAAGAAATCCCGTGCTATTTTTTTTTCTGCTTGTGGGGCTTAAACTCTGGGCATGGGCATTGTCCCTGAGCTCTTCAGCTCAAGATGAGTGCTCTACCACTTGAGCCACAGCCCCACTTCTGGTTTTCAGGTGGTTAATTGGAAATAAGAGTATCAGGGACTCTCCTGCCCAGGCTGGCTTTGAACTGTGATCTCACATCTCAGCCTCCTGAGTAGCTAGGATTACAGGCATGAGCCAGCAGTGCCCTGCTCTAGTGCTAATTTGATGGGTACAATTATGGTTCAGGGGAAAAAAAAGAGCTCAACATTGGTTAGCAGATAGATATGGTTTTAATACCATCACAGTTGAATTTTTTAAAAATGATCTGTCTTTATAAAATCTAGTCTTTGATGTCACACATAAAGAGTCATCTACAAAGTATTATGAGTGACTAAGAAAAGATCTAGATGGTGGTTATTAAACTTAGTAGCAATTATCATGTTGGGAAATATGTAAGTGGGATTTATTACATTTGAAAGAATTGTCATTCTTTTGCCATTTCAAAACAAAAGGTCATAATCTTTCCCTTACTATAATGGCCATTACAGTATAGGGAAGGCATGTGTTTTCTTGTGTCTGCCTCACATAGACTGCTCACTGTGTGTGTATGAGGAGAGTAGATGAAGGGTTGCAAAGGATCCCTACAAAGTAGAGTGCTTTTCAGTTGAACAAAATTGTCTCAGGAGAAGGAATTGAGAGTTGTTCTGCTCTGAGGGTTTGTGGTCTCCTTCAGCAATGGTGCTAACAGGTGTCATTTTTCATGATTTTTTGGACCTGTTATGATGAGAGATTAGCATGTCATCAGTATGATAAGAAACCCCTGTCATTGTGATGCTTGATCTCCTGCCAATTTTTCATTATCTGTTGCCTGACTCACACTAGGGTGGCTGCTGAGCATTTATTTGTTCACTGATTTATTCACTCAACAAACACTCACTGGATATCAATATCAGCTCTGTACTAGGCTCTGTGCAATGTGCTAGGGTAACAAAGGTGATTAAGATGAGTTTGCAGAGTCTACAGATGACTGGGTGAAACAGATGTGCAAATAGATTGTTGGGGCATGGTTGGTATCTGCTACAGGAGAGGTGCCATGGGAACATAGGGAAGTATGCCCTTCTTGGGCTGGATCTGCAGAGCTGTAGGATGAGGAGCAAAGACAAGAATCAAGGGAAAGACATCCCAAGAAGCTCCACTTTCATTGGCCTCTGTCCAGGGTCCTCAGGTACGTCTAGCCAAGCATGTTACAGGATATATTTTATTTTCCCCTAACTTTATTAGAAAGGAAAACAAAACTTAGCATGGTTTGGTCATCTATCCATGATCACATATAGGAAGAACAAAACTGGAATTTAGACCTATTTGGGGGATAGTCTTCTGCTATACCTTCCCCTTTGTACAGTCTATCAGTTGAGAAATGCAGTTTAGAGAACAGTCTAGGGTAATGGCAAGTGAGTATGAGAGTAAGTTGTGGGAAATGGATCTGAAAAGGTAACCTGAAGCCAAGTGGTCAGGTACCTCATAGCATATTCCTTCATTCTGCAGTGTGCTCAATAAATAGCCACTGTTTCCCACACATGCAGCAAAGATGCACTGAATCTAGGCCCTGACCTAGATTCAGTCTTCCCAGAATGAGATGGAAAAGACTTCCATCTTCTGGAATTGGACTCAGACTTAGCCTTGTCAGGAAAAGAAATCAGAAATCAAGAGCGGTACCAGCAGCACAAAGAGGATTGTCTGCTCTTAAAAGCATTAGGCAATGAGTAATGATTACAAGTACTTAACAGCAATAATAATTTCTGTGATGACTCAGAACTATGAGATGCTGCTGCTGTCTTTTCAGGATTTAGAGATGGACTGTTGTGACAATGTGTGGGCAAGAACTGTGATTGAATATGTTTAGGGTATGCTCATTCCTTCTTAGCTAAATGGGAGCGGGCAGAGAGGTAATTCTAGCAGTCTTTACTCTGGCTGTACTCTAGGCATGGTTGGAAACAAGGAGATATCCTTGCTAGACCCGAGTTTTTGCCTACCCCCACCTAACATGGATGTCTAGGTATGGCACTCTCCAGCTCTACCATCTTGGCCAATTCATGTTCTCTGGCTAAAAGAGACATTCCACACGTGGCAATTCTAACTTCCAAAAAGTTGTTTCTATAAGGTCTTTATTGCACTTTATTTTGTGAGCAAGAAAAGAGAGATTTGTGGTTCTCATTTTGAGGTGATAAAAGAGATATAGAGGTTAAAAGAGAATAATACTATTATTTCCAACTAATATAAATTCAGAAAGTTTTAGTAAGGCAGCATTTGCCTATTCTTTAGGTTTTAGCTTTTCACTGGAACTCTTAAAAGCATCCACAAGTCAAATGATTCTGCCCAGCCTTCTTCCCAAATTTGATCTTCCCTGATTTTAGCCTGCTTTAATTTTCAAGGACGTCATGCCTGGAAGGATTCCAGAAAAATCTCTCATAAGCTCATTTCATCAAGATTGAAAGGACTGATGAGCTGGTAATCTTATCACCAGTTACTCAGTGAGAGTTTATTAAGTGCCAGGCAGGTGCACAGGGCTGTTAACACATGTTGATTGATTAAATCCATGAGGTATGTTACCACCCTGAAGCCCTACTTCAAGAAGTTTACCGTATCATCTCTAAGACACTTGAACAGTTGATGCAGAAGATGACAACCACAAAGTGAAATGGATCTTAAGAAATTTTAGGCATCATCATAGGACCATGGATTAGACTTTTGTACTTTAAAAATGTTGGTCTTTACATTTCTAACTTTTCTGTCAAAGAGGAGCATTTGTTAGTCATACATGAAGTTTGTGTCTTCTAAGTCATTAATAGCTTTATTTCACTTATGTGTTTAAAATTTTCTTTATGCAGTGTCATAGTAAACTCATTTATTTTGCCCTGGAGTTCTCAGCAAAGTAAAACTCTTTTCCTTTTGTAGACATTTGCCTGAAAAAATTAAGGATGACCAGCAGCTGAAGAATATGAGTGGCCAATGGTTTTATGAAGCCAAGGCAAAAAGGCACAGAGACAAAATCCATGGTGCAGATATTATCCGAGCATCTATGAGGAAGAAGAGGCTCCAAGTGGCAGGTGAGATGCTGACCCTCAGCGTATGTGTAGGACAGAGGGTAGGTTAGGGTATGACTTTGTTACTGAAATTTGCTGAGGGAAATCATGTGGAGGTGTGTTTTACACAATGGATATTCTCTAATTCAAAAGCTTGCCCTGGTTCAGATAGATAAGATCCAAGCCACAAAGCTGTGCACTATAAAAAAAGGAAGCCCTTTAAAGTACCTTATTCAGTTGTAGTTGCCCAATTCTTGGGGCTCATAGGGGATCTACCACCTGTTCTTTGGCTTTAACTCTGGAATTTTAGAACCTTCTGAGTAAGCTAAAAGACCTACACAAAGTGAGATCTGTCTTCTTATGAATGATCTTTGACACATTATTAATCAACCAAGTACATTATTTATTTATTTATTTTTGGTCGGTCATGGAGCTTGAACTCTGGGCTTGGGCGCTGTCCCTCAATAATTCAGCTCAAGGCGAGTGCTCTACCGCTTGAGCCACAGCGCCACTTCCGGTTTTCGAGTGTTTATTGGAGATAAGAGTCTCACGGACTTTCCTGCCTAAGCTGGCTTCATACCAAGATCCTCAGATTGCAGCCTTCTGAGTAGTTAGTAATAGTAGCCATGAGCCACTGGCTATGTGGCCTTAGGCAATTTTCTTGAACTCTTGAAGACCATCAATTTCCAGATGTATAAGTTGAAAAAATAGCTCCTAGCTCCTAGGATAATGCTTACAAAAAAAACTTAGCACCACAGTGACTAATAGTTCTCATTCTGTTGATGATAACTATCAGAGAAGTTCAGGAATAAAGAGAGTATTTGTGGTCAGCAGCAAAAGAAGTTGTTCGCTGAAAGAAAACACAGGGATTTTATAAGAGGTCTGACATCTGCCTAGTACGAAGTAAGAAAAATTCAGATGTGTAGGGACTAGGAAATGGGATGGAAGAGGTAGTAGAGAGGAACATTGTAGACTATAATCGTTTGTTCCCCTTGTATCCCAGAACCAAGCATCATGTAGAACACATTGTAGATTGTCCCAGTGAATATTCTTCCTGCCCACAGCATCCTTTGGCTGTGCAAATTTAGTCCTGACTCTAGGTCAGATTAATCTGGAGGGAATCAAAATTTTGTTTTATCATCTGCATATTTAAAAGTATACCTAAAATAAACAAAGAAAAGTATACCTACACTCTTAGAGACAGCTTTGGAGAGAGGAGCTAATATAATAATGTATATAGTAATAATAATATAATATGAATACCATGCCAGGTGCCTGTAGCTCACACCTGTAATCCTAGCTACTGAGACCTGAGGATCGAGGTTCAAAGCCAGCCAGGGCAGGAAAGTCCGTGAGACTCTTATCTCCAGTTAACCACCAGAAAACTAGAAATGGCACTGTGACTCAAGTGATAGAATGCTAGCCTTGAGCTAGCACTGATCTCAGGGACAGAGCCCAGGTCCAGAGTTCAAGCCCCATGACTGACAATAAATGAAATTCTGATTCTGAGACTCAGAAAGTTCAGAGCTTGGATTTGAGCCCTTAGTGATAGGAGTGGATGAGAGTGGTATAGGTTGTGGAGGAGAGAGATAACCGTTTTTTTAATCATTTGTTGTTTCAGCTGAGCAGAGTAAAGACAGAGCAATTGGGGCAAAGGAAAGCTGGGTGAATAATGTCAACAAAGATGCTTTCCTTTCCTCAGAGGTGGCTGGTGTTGTAGAAGAGCCAAAAGAAGACACAGCACCAGCAAGCCCAAGGTAAGACAGAGCTTGAGAGTTTTGTGAGTTGATGTGCTGTAGAAATGTTGGACTGGTGCTATTAGTGAAGGAAGAGGGTAGTATGTGAGAGAATTCAGGGCCATGATGGGGACAGAGTCTAAGCAATATTCTTTTAGAATTTCTAACAAATCTGAATTGTAAATAGAATTAAAATGTTAAGGGGCCATCTTTTAGCACCAGCAATAACTGCTTTTTATTTCTCCCAGGAGTAGGTTATAGTGGTATTCTAAAATGACTTTATCTCAGAGGTGAGATGAATGATGATCACACTGTAACAGTTTGGTACAATAGAAGTAGCTCCAGCGCAGGTCTCAGGAAGGCTGAGTTCAAATCCTGAGTCTGCCATTTATTAGCCATTAGGACCATAGGCAAACCTTTGAACCTTCTACCTCTATTTCTTATCCCTAGACTGGAATGCTCCTATATACCCAAAAGGCCATTATGAGACTTGGTAATAATGAACATAGAATACATAGCACATGTTAAATACTAAATAAAATTCAGTGTTGGGTGGGCATGATGGTGCATGTGTGTAATCTCAGCTACTAAGAAGGCAAAGATTGGGAAGATAGCAGTTCAAGGCAAGCATGGACAAAGAAAAGTTAGTGAGACCCTATCTCAACCAATAAGAAGCTAAGCATGATGGTTATTCAGGGGGCATTAGTAGGAGGATCATTGTCTAAGCCAGTATGGGCAAAAACCCGAGACCCCCCCCCCAATCAGGAAAATAACAAAGCAAAACGGGTAGGTGCATGACTCAGGAAGCAGTATATATGCCAAGGAAGTGCAAGGTTCTCCGTACAAACTTCAGTACTGCCAAAGAAACAAACAAACCAAATGCAGTATGTATTCAATAATTTTTATTTATGGTAGGTTTTCCATACATGTTTTCATCTGACCAAGGAAACTGTGCATGTTTTAATCCTTCCTAAGAAGTATCTAGTTATGGAACTGTACTGCCCAAATCTTTTGAGGTATAATAATGTTCTCTTAGCTATTTAAAGAGTCTCCCATTGGTGTAGGAGAGAGTGGGAGAAACAGTAGCATTTTATCCTCAGCTGCTGGGTGAAGTTAGTTAAACTCAGAGCCTCCAACTGTGATAACATTGATGGTGTTGCTGAAGGGGTAGCCACTGAATGAGGGCTCAAGGCCGAGGCATTCAGAAACAGATATATTTCCAACATAGTTTCTTATGGGTGAGGGCACCCAATATAAGTACCTCTAGGCATTGCGAAGTCACATATAAGTAAAGTTCTTCCGGGCTGGGAAGGTGGCTCAGTGGTAGAGTGCTTGCCTTCCATGCATGAGGCCCTGGGTTCGATTCCTCAGCACCACATAAGAAAAAAGAAAAAAGCCGGAAGTGGTGCTGTGGCTCAAGTGGTAGAGCGCTAGCCTTGAGCTGAAGAGCTGAGGGACAGTGCCCAGGCCCAGAGTTCAGGCCCCACGACTAGACCCCCCCCCCAAAAAAAAGTAAAGTTCTTCCACATGGAAAATGGAATGTTAATACACTAGTAAAACAGAAAGCCAAAGAAAATGGAATGATGAATTGATTCATGTACCCGTTGTTTACCCCTTCCCACCCATGAGTGACAGGGTCTACTGTGTTCCCCCAGGACAACTTATAAAGTTCTATTTATAGAGGCCATGCTAGCTATTGGGTAAACACCTCTATAGTAGCTACCAATTGATACTGTGGTCTCACTTGCAGTAGTTCTGACTTTACTTCTTGGGCATCTATTTCTATGGCTATAAATGAGAGTAATAATAGTACCGTTAATGGGAAAACAAGTAATTAGTTGGTGTATGTACAATTCTTTACATAGTCCCAAGCATATAATATTAGCAACTTAAAGGGTAGGATCTAAAATACAAATGAATACTTCAGAATGTCTAGGAGAGGGTATGAAGGGACTCTTTCCCCCCCTTGGTGCCTTCTCACTTACCAGCTACCTGAAGATGAAAGCTTTACCTTTACAAAGACAAGAGATTCGAACTATTAGAAACTTTAGGAGAAAGAACATAGCATAGCCATTTAGATCTACTTCCAAGGAGCTGCAATCAGGTCTTAGGATCAGGCATGGTAAGAACCACAAAGCACCAGAGCATTGACCAACTAAGGGAAGGGGACAATTCAGGGATATCAGAGACACACTCAACTCACTGCAATTTTTTCCAAGTCAAACTTCTCATCCTTCCAGATAGTCAGTCCAATTCAAAGGGCTTGAGTGGGCAAAGGTGCCTGACTCCATCTCCTCGTGTTTCACAGAGAAGAGACTGGGTATTTCCTCAGTCTTCCTCACTTTCAGGCTAATAAACCTTCCATGACTTGCAAGTGTACTTGTTTTCTGCTATGTAAGTCAGAATATAGATGCCTTACCAGTATGTGGTGAGATTACCTGAAAGAAGGTGAAGGAACCATTTATCATTTCTTAGGAAGATGGAAAATTGACAACATCCAAATGGCAATGTAATGATGCTATTTCTTATTACATAAATAAAATATGGTAAAGAAGACAAGCCTAGAGGGGATAGGAAATGTACTAATTACCTTACTCATGTAACTGTAACCCCTCTGTACAGTATTTTTCAATATATATATATATATATATATATATAAAGAAGACAAGCCTTATAATGTGTGGTATGTGTGGGAATCACTCAGAACTAACTATACAAAAAGCAATAGTTTACTTCCTCTTTTCCATGTCAGAAACCACAACTTTACTTGATGTCAAGTTTCCTGCAGTGTTTTCATACTTTAACCTTTGTGAACTGGGTGTGTTAAGTGTATTTAGTGCCTGTACTTTTAGACTATGTGAATTTCAATAGAGTGACTCAATACTTATCAATATTTTCTTAGCCACGTGTTGGGGAGTGTGGAGAAGGTATTTTTTTCTTTTTTCCTTTTTCTTTCTTTCTTTCTCTCTCTCTTTCTTTCTTTGCTGGTCCTGGGGCTTGAACTCAGGGTCTGGGCACTGTCCCCAAGCATCTTTGTGCTAAAGTCTAGCGCTCTACCACTTGAGTCACAGTGCCACTTCTGGCTTTTTCTGAGTAGGTTTTGGAGAGTCTCACAGACTTTCCTGCCTGGGCTGGCTTTGAACCATGATTCTCAGATCTTAGCTTTCTGAGTAGCTAGGATTACAGGTGTGAGCCACAGGCACCTGGCTTGTTTTGTTTTTTATTTTTGGTTGTTTTTTTTTTAAATAGGCTTGGTGGCTGGGTCCTTCATGGTGTTGTGTGCACAATTTTGTTGAGGTCTATACATGAAGAATTAAAACACTGTACTTGGCCTAGAGTCAGGAGCATGAACATCTGCTTGTATTCTTTCTGAATTCCTCTTTGTACTTATAGCAAAGGAAGCAGAGAGAAGCTTATGAACAGAGAATAAGTTTCTCTTTAGAGAAGCAAAAAGGAAACTTCAAGCTTAGTTGGGTAGTGTTGGCTGAGCCAGTATACCATAAACTGTAGTGAAGAAACAATTTTATTTTGTTTTTAACTTCTCTTTCTTTAAAAAAAATATTTCTAATCAACACAGGCTAATAATACCCTTTGGGCTTTGGTGGCTCATGCCTGTTAATTCTAGCTTACATACACACACATACACACACACACACACACACACACACACACACACACACACACATGAAATATGGGAAATAACAATGGCATAAAATGGAGAACTGGTCATATACTGAGATGTCTCAGAAAACTCATAAATGGTTCTCAACATGTACTCCCAATTTTTGTAGTTATCTCATTGTGAATCACTAATAAACAGCTCATGGATTGACACTGTTCCACAAACCATATATATTTGTTAGACACATGCACAGTAAGCCATAGAGCGTGGCTGAGTCAGATAGGGAGTAAAGAACAAAACATCAGCTGGGCACCATTGGCTCAGACCTAGGTACTTAGGAGGCTGAGAATCAGAGGATGTCAGTTTGAAGTCAGCTTAGGCAGAAAAGTCTAAGAGACTCCATCTGCAATTAACTAGCAAAATTCCAGGCTGGAGGTATGACCCAAGGGATAGAGTGCCAGCCAAGCATGCAAGAGGGCATGAGTTCAAACTTTAATACTTTAAAAAAATTAGAAGCTCCTCCCACTTGGGTCAGGACCCTTCCCATACACGCTGTACTAAGTATTAATATTATCAGGACAAGTTATTGTTCTGACTTTAGAAGTCAGCCTTTAAGAAGCCCCTTCTTTATTACTCAGGGTTATATGTTCTGTGAAACAAGTTTGGGTGCTGGGGGTGCCACTAAGAATAGTAGGCTCTCTATATTGGACCAGGGCCTTATATGTCCTTGCCTCTGACACTTCTTTGTACTGAAGGGACCTGGATATGGTCTGACCTTTTCATTTCTCTCTGGTCCCTTGTCTTCAAGGAACCCATTGTTTGGAGAAGGGGCTATGTATAATTATGAACCTGTTTGGTGTGGCGATAGTACTTAACATGTTATGAGAGCAGCACTGACTTTATAAAGAATAGAAAGGGAAGATGATCTGAGAGCGTTTGGAGGTGATTCTTGAAGGATGAGAAGGATTATGTTAGATGGAATGCGGGGGTGATACAGGCAGAGAGGCTGACCTGAGGTCTGGAAGGCCTTGGCATGCCACAGTCCTGGAAATGGTCTGGCATGGGAAGTCTGCTGTGTGCCTGCTGGGCAAAGTGTATATGAAGAAGCTGAAATCAAATTGAAAAGAACTTTGAGAGTCAGGCTAGACTTTTTCTTAAGTCATAAGGACCACCAAATGAATATTGTTGTTGGTGATGGTGGTCATGGGGCTTAAACTCTGAGCCTGGACTCTGTCCCTGAGCTCTTTTGCTCTTTGGCTCTGAATTGCAATCCTCAGCCTCCTGAGTAGCTAGGATTATAAGCATAAAGATGAGATTTGTGGTGTTCATAGAACAGAAATACCTAATAATTGTTTAAGGGATTTGAGGAAAGATTGTCTTTTCCTCCAGATCCATTAGG